TACGTATAACGACAGTACAAGATATTTAATTAACCGATTATTAAATATAATCGACTTGTAAACAGATAATGTGCTAAATAAAAGTAATATGTTAGGTAGTGATTTTCAACCATTTTTTGCCTAATGCACCTTTTTTTACTATAAATCAGAATGCCATTCCCTACCTCTCTCAAAAAGTGCATTCCAAATAGTATGTATGTATTACTGAAAATCTTCATTATTTTCCATAATGGTACATATACATTTACATGGATTATCATTTTTTTTATAGAGGAGTTTTTTTTTAAAAAACTCATGATAGTCTCGGAATTCTTGTAAACAAAAAACAAGAAAGGGTAAAAAATTCCTCGCAGTGAAACCCTGAAATCCCCCAACATGCTAGAAAATAGGGCAAAAGAAAATTAGTGACAATTAGTGATAAAATTTTTGCAGTAATGCAGATGATTTGGAAAAACAATGAAAATATTAAAAAGGAATACATTTCAATAAATTTCCTTAGAAAGAAGAAAAGATTTTTTTCGAATTTCAGTCAAATATACAAAGTACAAATTTATTAATGCACATGACTAATTTTTGTGTCTTTTTAAACATATTACACAAAAAGTTTTACTAGTGTGTACGCACGGTGAGTCTACAGTTTCAGATAGGTTATCAGGAATTCGAAATGATTGACTTCCGATGGAGATCTATAGACAACCCCTAAGATCGAAGTGTCATGAATTTTACAGCCGATCAACATAACACATGACAAATTCCTTTCTTAGAGACATTTGTCACTCGTTATATTTTATTTTTTAGATACTCGTCATTGGTTCCAGTAGCAAAGCCAGGGAGTAAATTAATTTAGTATTATTTTAAAATAGACTGACTGTTTACTTGAACGGGGCACACCATCATAACTAGTTGGTTGGCATAAATGTGTGATAAGTATGGCGGAAGTATGAAACATGCTAAGTGACCTTTTATTCAAAATAATTCGTCTGCTAATATAATTTTTTAACAATTCATTTCTATTTTTGTGTTTAATTTAATTCAATTTTTCTGCAAGTGTTGCGATATGGCGGGGCTCAAATAGCTAGCTTTATTTCAGTCAGTTAAATGGCATACACGCTTGGGGCGATCATGTCTCTTTCGATTCATGGCTGACGAGGCAGAAGATTTCCCCCTTTCTTTCTACAGTAGATAGGCCCAGTCTGTCCTGCTATTCAAACTATAGTTAGAAGAGATTGATTCAAAACTTTGCTAAGGGTAATTGTGCGTAAGTGAATGTAGGGAACCCGACTAGAATTCGAACTCGGATCTCCCATTTCTAATTCCGAGTGGCTGACCATTCATACCGGCCAAAATGTGGTTAAGAAATAACGAAGATAAAATTACGAGTTCGAAAATGTGTGAAATAATTTGTGGATTAAGGGAGATAACTTAAGATCGTTAAATGTAAAATTGTAAATTTGGATACCAGCTCTTGATTAAAAACTAGTAAGAAATGCTTGAATTTCAGTGTTAAACTTGATATAAAATTTATATAGTCACGAAAATGGATAATATGAGACACTATAAAAATTGTGGGATACTTTTTAAAGATTGCACATATTTATTTAAGTACAAATGTAGAAAATGTTCTTTTTTCTTGCGAAAAATCACAACTATACTAGAAAAGTTTTTAAGAACTGATTCTTTGTCCGTCATACACAATTTGTATGTGACTGCCCCCAAAACACACACACACACACACACAAAAACATTAATTTCATAAACCTTAAAAAAAAAAATCACATATTTAAAAGATTTTATTGATCTTTTCGGAAATTATTCGGTAATAAATAAAATTATTCTTTAAAGTTTTCACTTCTTTCATTCATTAATTCAGTTCCTTTTGCACTGAAGATGTTAAGGTTATTCCGTCCCCTCTCTCAGAGATGGATTTGTTTTTTTAAGTTAATTTCTAAAGATACAGGACCTACAAGGCAGCAGGTGGTTTGAATTTTGAGTTTCCTAGACTGTTTTTTTAATCGTTATCACCCCAAACAATACAGTGAAGCCACTAAAACACAAGGGGTTACAGGGTGTGGAAGAATTAGGAACAGAAACATTAATAATGAGTAGAAAGAGAAAAGAGTAATCATTTGGACAGTAGATAGCAATTGACATTAAAATTCTTTTGCAGATTAAAGTTGGCTGGAAAGTATGGAACTGGAAGGGAGTTCCACAAACAAGAAGTGCGAGAGAAGAAACTGTTAACATAGAAGTTACGGCTACAGCTTAACTGTAAAGGTTATATGGCACAGTCTGTCCTGCTATTTTACCCATAGCTGGGCGAAGATAGATAGGTTCATACCTTTCTCAAGAGTATTAGCATGTAATGAATTCGACTTGAATTCGAACTCGTCTCTCAGATTCCCCAATCAGAGCGGCTATAAATCCACCGTGCCTCTTTCATTGAATTAAAATATGCACGCGGACGCACAAACATACATACACAGAACTTGAAACTGAAATAGTCATCTATGTCGCAAAGGCTAATTTCTCTTCTTGCCTGGCAACAATGTCTGGGTAACAGGAAAAGAGAATAAGCTGGCCCCTTGAAATATTTTTGTATTTAAGCTGAATATATTTCTTAATAAATGTAGTATTTCCAATGAACAAATGATTTAGATTTCATCTTGTTGCTAGCGAAGCGACAGGCAACAAAATAATGACTAATATAAAATAAATTGATTTCATTAGACGACTTTTTGTCATTTGGAGACGATTTATTTAAACGTGTGGATATTAAACTGTTGTAGCATACCTACGGATAATAATGGGTATGTCCGCATTCACATAAATACAGTAGTAAATACTGTATGTTGGTCTTCAGTTGGAGATTCCTCTTCAGCTGTGCTGGTCAAACTCTCTGCCTCCGAGCAGAGGGGATCTCCAGACGAGGCTATGTCAAAGGGCAGAGTCTAGTCTCGGAAACAGCTACCCGACCCCGTTTTATACAGGGTCTACGGGGAATTTTTGGCCAACCCAAGGGCTCGGATACCCCATATTAAATTCGGCCTTTTGCCACATCTGACACATTTATCACGTGTACCATAAAACAATTGTAACCTAAAAAATACACACACACAAATACACACACACACACACATACATACAAATGTATGAATTTAACGTACAATCTGCCATGGCTTTATTGTTATCTCTGTATGTTTTATTTCTGCGACGTATGAATTTTTTTAATCTCTGTGAGGCCATTTTCTGTTGCTTCATGTTAAGGTAGAACTACATCTGTGGCGTCAAGCCTCATCTATGTCCAGCATTCACTGCCATATAGAATACAACAGAATAGCAGTTTTGTTATTTTTCATTGTTTATAACATCATTTCTGTATCTTTTAATACTTTGCTTAGTTTCTGAAAGACATCTTTCGGTATTTGAACATTTCCGTCGTCTTATAGAATTTCGACTACTCAGATAGTTGAAATTCTATACTTGCTTGATTTTGACAACACGGAGACATAATTCACACCTTGGTTTGTTTCTTTTGCTGAAAACCATGCATATTCTTTTCTTACATGTCATAGTCCTTTCTTCTTGCTTTCCTTTACTACCTCATCAATGATTCTTTCAGGTTACCCTCAAAATCCGCAATCAATACACTGTCATCTGCATACTATAGTTTTTGTGAATAAATTCTGGCATGTCTTCGTTCTATTCAGATTGTTTTATTGTATGAGTTAAATCGATCCGATGAGAAAACACATTATTGTCTTACTTTGCTTTCTGCTTTTTTTGTATATTCACTGAATAAGTGCTCTATCAGTACGCAGGGATCTTTGTACTCTATTGACTTTGCGAATTACTTCAGTATATTTCTATATAAATCAAACTTTCGTAGTATTTCAAGTGTGTCAAGTTGTATGGTACCTTATCGAATACTCTTGTGTAATAATCTATGAAATATAAGTATCGAGCTTTCTGCTTTTCTATAGCTCGTTCTGATTCCAAAAATAGCATTTCTTGTTTTCGTGTCTTGAACTAAGCTGTCCCATTTCATTCATTAGAATCCTCAGGATTTTAGTTATGTGGTATATTAGGCTGATTGTCTCATGGAGTAAACAAAGGGAGGGAAATCCTTCTAAGCGATGTATGTATCAAGGGAGGTAATTCAAATTAAACAATTATATTCGTGTAGAAGGGGTTTTATCAACACCATTTAATCATTATTTGTGATAGTAAGCAGGCGGTGCAGTGGTTAAAACTGTTGTTTTCACAAAAGAAACGTTTTGTAGGAGATAAATTTGAAACCTTTATGGTCAGTTAATTAATATTAACGAAATGATACCGTTGAAGATTTTTTTGGATATAAACAAAGCAAGTTGATTGGTTCTTGCTTATTGGGGGAAATGAGTTTTTTTTTTTTGCTGCTATTACCTGAGTAGATAGTAGTGTCCTCAAGTGCCGAGATATCTGACGATGGGACAGAACGCTGAACATGGTTGATGTTTTTACCAAGGTCGTAAGGAAGGTAAACAGCTAAAGAGGAGGTGCTGGAAAATTATAGTGTTGGTGGCTATAATTTTCCAGCACCTCCTCTTTAGCTGTTTATTCCAATTATAGTTATAGCCCACGTTAAACGACCTTGTGTCACATCTTGATTTTGTGGGAATCAAGTAAATACTAACACTTATGGCCAACACTCTTTCATATATATTTTGGAAACGAGTTGGGATGATGACAAAAGTTATATTTCGAAAGTTGTTGGGCAGACACGTATATATTCGGGAAGTAAGTCGGGCCGATAGCTTTTCAGTACCCTTTGCATATATTTGGGATGTGGGTTTTTCAGCACCCTCTCTTATATATTTTAGGAAGTGGGGCACACTGATATCTCTTCAGCGACCACCTGTATAAAACGTGTATAATATACAATTTTACTAGGTGGCAATTTCTTTGACATCAAATGAATCTTGTTTACTTGATTGCAGGTGTGTACATTTTGTAAAAGGAGGATGCTGTCAGTTGCGGAAGAACCGATAGATACAGACGGCGATGGCATTCCAGACCATCTCGATGATGATGACGACGGTGATGGTATTCCCGATCATCTGGAAAAGGCGGACGCTGATGGGGATGGTATACCCGATCATCTTGATGACGATGATGATGGTGACGGTATTCCTGATCACCTTGAAGGAGACAGTGATGGCGACGGTATTCCAGATTATAAGGAAGATGCTGATGGCGACGGTATCCCAGACTACCTTGATGATGACGATGATGGCGATGGTATTCCTGATCACTTGGAAAAAGATTCTGATGGGGATGGTATACCTGATCACCTGGACAATGATGATGACGGCAATGGTATTCCTGACCAACATGAAAACAGCATTGGAGCCGATGGCATTAAAAAGCCAGGTGAAAGGATTATTTACGAAGATGATGAAGGTGAATGCGTTCCCGAGGACAAAGATGGAGATGGAATACCAGACCATCTTGACGATGATGACGATGGTGACGGCATACCTGATGACAAAGAGGACGCTGACGGTGATGGTATCCCTGACCATCTCGAGGGAGACAGTGATGGTGACGGCATTCCAGATTACAAAGAAGACGCCGACGGTGATGGCATTCCAGATTATCTCGATGACGATGATGATGGCAATGGCATCCCTGACCATCTGGAAGGGGATAGCGATGGTGACGGTATTCCTGATTATAAGGAAGACGCTGATGGCGATGGTATTCCAGATTATCTTGATGATGATGATGATGGTGATGGTATCCCTGACCATCTCGAGGGAGACAGTGATGGTGACGGCATTCCAGATTACAAAGAAGACGCCGACGGTGATGGCATTCCAGATTATCTCGATGACGATGATGATGGCAATGGTATCCCTGACCATTTGGAAGGGGATAGTGATGGTGATGGAATTCCAGATTATCTGGAAGATGCCGATGGAGATGGTATCCCAGATTACCTTGATGATGATGATGACGGTGATGGTATCCCTGACCATTTGGAAGGTGATAGCGATGGAGATGGTATTCCTGATTATCTGGAAGATGCTGATGGAGATGGTATCCCAGATTACCTTGATGATGATGATGACGGTGATGGTATCCCTGACCATTTGGAAGGTGATAGCGATGGAGATGGTATTCCTGATTATCTGGAAGATGCTGATGGAGATGGTATCCCAGATTACCTTGATGATGATGATGACGGTGATGGTATCCCTGACCATCTCGAAGGTGATAGTGATGGTGATGGAATTCCAGATTATCTGGAAGATGCCGATGGAGATGGTATCCCAGATTACCTTGATGATGACGATGACGGCGATGGTATCCCTGACCATCTTGAAGGTGATAGCGATGGAGATGGTATTCCAGATTATCTGGAAGATGCTGATGGAGATGGTATCCCAGATTACCTTGATGATGATGATGACGGTGATGGTATCCCAGACCATTTAGAAGGCGATAGCGATGGCGACGGCATACCGGATTATAAGGAAGACGCTGATGGCGACGGAATTCCTGATTATCTTGATGATGACGCTAATGGCGACGGTATCCCTGACCATTTGGAAGGTGATAGCGATGGAGATGGCATTCCCGATTATAAGGAAGACGCCGATGGTGATGGAATTCCTGATTATCTTGATGATGATGATGATGGCGACGGTATACCTGACCATTTGGAAGGTGATAGCGATGGAGATGGTATTCCTGATTATCTGGAAGACGCAGATGGCGACGGTATTCCGGATTACCTGGATGATGATGATGACGGCAATGGTATCCCTGACCATTTGGAAGGTGATAGCGACGGTGACGGTATTCCAGATTATAAGGAAGATGCTGATGGCGATGGTATTCCTGATTACCTTGATGATGATGATGATGGCGATGGTATCCCTGACCATTTGGAAGGTGATAGCGATGGAGATGGTATTCCTGATTATCTGGAAGACGCCGATGGCGACGGTATTCCGGATTACCTGGATGATGATGATGACGGCAATGGTATCCCTGACCATTTGGAAGGTGATAGTGACGGTGACGGAATTCCAGATTATAAGGAAGACGCTGATGGCGATGGTATTCCTGATTACCTTGATGATGATGATGATGGCAATGGTATACCTGACCACTTAGAAGGTGATAGCGATGGCGATGGTATTCCAGATTATCAGGAAGACGCTGACGGCGATGGTATTCCGGATTACCTTGATGACGATGATGATGGTAATGGTATTCCTGACCATTTAGAAGGTGATAGTGATGGTGACGGTATTCCAGATTATAAGGAAGACGCTGATGGCGATGGTATTCCAGATTATCTTGATGATGATGATAATGGTGATGGTATCCCGGATCATCTCGAAGGCGACAGTGATGGTGACGGCATTCCAGATTACAAGGAAGACGCCGATGGTGATGGCATTCCAGATTATCTCGATGACGATGATGATGGTGATGGCATCCCTGACCATCTGGAAGGTGATAGTGATGGTGATGGAATTCCAGATTATCAGGAAGATGCTGATGGAGATGGTATCCCAGATTACCTTGATGATGATGATGACGGAGATGGTATACCCGACCATCTTGAAGGTGACAGCGATGGAGATGGTATTCCTGATCATTTAGAGGACGCTGACGGTGATGGCATTCCTGACCACCTTGATGATGATGATGATGGCGATGGTATTCCCGATCATTTGGAAGATGCGGATGGTGATGGTATTCCAGATCATCTCGACGATGATGACGATGGGGATGGTATTCCTGATCACCTGGAAGGTGACAGCGATGGAGATGGTATTCCTGATCATCTAGAGGACACTGACGGCGATGGCATTCCCGATCACCTGGATGATGATGATGACGGTGATGGTATCCCTGATCATTTAGAAGATGCCGACGGTGATGGTATTCCAGATCATCTTGATGATGACGATGATGGTGATGGTATTCCCGACCATTTGGAAGGTGACAGTGATGGAGATGGTATTCCTGATCATTTGGAAGATACAGATGGTGATGGCATTCCAGATCATCTAGATGATGATGATGACGGAGATGGCATTCCGGATCATTTGGAAGATGCAGATGGTGACGGTATTCCAGATCATCTAGATGATGATGATGACGGAGACGGTATCCCCGACCATCTTGAAGGTGACAGCGATGGAGATGGTATTCCAGATCATTTGGAAGATGCCGATGGTGACGGTATTCCAGATCATCTCGATGTTGATGATGACGGAGACGGTATCCCCGACCATCTTGAAGGTGACAGCGATGGAGATGGTATTCCAGATCATTTAGAAGATGCTGATGGTGATGGAATTCCAGATTATCTCGATGATGATGATGATGGTGATGGTATCCCCGACCATCTCGAGGGAGACAGTGATGGTGACGGCATTCCAGATTACAAAGAAGACGCCGATGGTGATGGCATTCCAGATTATCTCGATGACGATGATGATGGCGATGGCATCCCTGACCATTTAGAAGGGGATAGTGATGGTGATGGAATTCCAGATTATCAGGAAGATGCTGATGGAGATGGTATCCCAGATTACCTTGATGATGATGATGACGGCGATGGTATCCCCGACCATCTTGAAGGTGATAGCGATGGAGATGGTATTCCTGATCATTTAGAAGATGCCGATGGTGATGGAATTCCAGATCATCTCGATGATGACGATGATGGAGACGGTATTCCCGACCATCTTGAAGGTGACAGCGATGGAGATGGTATTCCCGATCATTTGGAAGATGCCGATGGTGATGGAATTCCAGATCATCTCGATGATGATGATGATGGAGACGGTATCCCCGACCATCTTGAAGGTGACAGCGATGGAGATGGTATTCCCGATCATTTGGAAGATGCCGATGGTGATGGAATTCCAGATCATCTCGATGATGATGATGACGGAGACGGTATTCCCCGACCATCTTGAAGGTGACAGCGATGGAGATGGTATTCCCGATCATTTGGAAGATGCCGATGGTGATGGAATTCCAGATCATCTCGATGATGATGATGACGGAGACGGTATCCCCGACCATCTTGAAGGTGACAGCGATGGAGATGGTATTCCAGATCATTTAGAAGATGCTGATGGTGATGGAATTCCAGACCATCTCGATGATGATGATGATGGTGATGGTATCCCTGACCATCTCGAGGGAGACAGTGATGGTGACGGCATTCCAGATTACAAAGAAGACGCCGATGGTGATGGCATTCCAGATTATCTCGATGACGATGATGATGGCGATGGCATCCCTGACCATTTGGAAGGGGATAGTGATGGTGATGGAATTCCAGATTATCTGGAAGATGCTGATGGAGATGGTATCCCAGATTACCTTGATGATGATGATGACGGAGACGGTATTCCCGACCATCTTGAAGGTGACAGCGATGGAGATGGTATTCCAGACCATTTGGAAGATGCCGATGGTGACGGTATTCCAGATCATCTCGATGATGATGATGACGGAGACGGTATCCCCGACCATCTTGAAGGTGACAGCGATGGAGATGGTATTCCAGACCATTTGGAAGATGCCGATGGTGACGGTATTCCAGATCATCTCGATGATGATGATGACGGAGACGGTATCCCCGACCATCTTGAAGGTGACAGCGATGGAGATGGTATTCCTGATCATTTAGAAGATGCTGATGGAGATGGTATTCCTGACTACTTAGATGATGATGATGATGGTGATGGTATTCCTGACCATTTAGAAGATGCTGATGGTGATGGAATTCCAGATCATCTCGATGACGATGATGACGGTGATGGTATCCCTGACCATCTGGAAGGTGATAGTGATGGAGATGGAATTCCTGATCATTTGGAAGATGCTGATGGCGATGGTATTCCAGATCATCTCGATGACGATGATGATGGTGATGGTATTCCTGACCATCTTGAAGGGGACACCGACGGCGATGGCATTCCTGACTATTTGGAAGATACCGATGGTGATGGCATTCCTGATCATTTAGATGATGATGATGATGGCGATGGTATTCCCGATCATTTGGAAGGTGATAGCGACGGAGATGGTATTCCTGATCATCTAGAGGATGCTGATGGTGATGGTATTCCTGATCATCTTGATGATGATGATGATGGTGATGGTATTCCCGACCACCTTGAAGGTGACAGCGATGGAGATGGTATTCCTGACTATTTGGAAGATGCTGATGGCGATGGCATTCCCGATCATCTTGACGATGATGACGATGGCGATGGTATTCCTGACCATCTAGAACTTGATAGTGACGCTGATGGTATTCCAGATTACCAAAAAGATACTGATGGTGACGGTATACCTGACTATCTCGATGAAGATGATGATGGTGATGGTATCCCTGATACATTAGATGACGATGATGATGGCGACGGCATTCCTGATCATCAAGATAAGGACACTGACGGCGATGGTATTCCAGACCATTTAGACACTGATGTTGACGGTGATGGGCAATCTGAAGAAATTATTGACTCTGACGGGGACGGTGTACCTGATCACCTTGATACTGATGACGATGGCGATGGTATTCCCGATGGTGATGAAGAAAAGGATTCAGATGGTGATGGAATTCCAGATCACCTCGACGAAGATGACGATGGTGATGGTATACCTGATAGTCTGGAGGGTGACTCTGACGGTGATGGCATTCCCGATTATGCAGAGGACGCTGATGGTGATGGTATTCCTGATTATCTTGACGAAGATGATGATGGTGACGGCATACCGGATCATTTGGAAAAAGAGGAAGCCACTGTAGAACAATGTGAGAAAGATACTTGCCCAGAAGAAGAAGAGGAGCCAGGTATGATATCTCGGCTTCTGAGCTTAATACGAGAAACTAAAGATAATTTGCCGGCTTTAATTGTATTGGAAGACGACGATCATGAGGATGAGCAGGATTTACTGGCCGGCCTTCCAGAAATTGAACAGAAAGAACACGAAGAAAGCATCGAATTTTCGGACTTTATTTCAGATATTGCTTCCAAATCTTATCGCAGATTCATCAGCATTTTTAAGTCATCTGAAGAAAAAGAAGTTTAATCGATCTCTCGCTTTCATTTTTTTTTTGTCATTTCACATTTTGTAAAGGTTGGGTGGGGTTTACTGTTTGTTTTCTTATCACAGATCAAAATAATATGGCGCATAAAATTTTTAAAAAATTCTTAAAAAAGAGAAAAAATGAAAAATACAAAAAAAAAAATGAAAATAGACTAAAAAAAAAAAGAAAAATAAGAAAATTTCAAACTAGTAATTCTTTATATGAATATTCAAGATCAACGTAAAAACAACGATGTAAACCTGAGAAAATTATAAAGAAATATATCAAAGATTGACGGAATAATATATATATATATATATATATATATAAAGAGTGCACATAGCTAAATTGAAAGGAAAATGCCAATGTTGAGTTTTGAAGCTAGAAAACTAAGAAATACAGCCAAAGCCCTGATAGAAATCAACAACAGAATTACACAAAGAAAATGTTAAAACAACCGGAAGAAAGCCACAACAATGATGACGACGACGACCCTTGAAAAACAAGAAAGAATATCCACCATGAGTTGGTGGACAGACAACTTTCTTTTGATTTCAATGGCCTTACGTTTCGAGTTACATATTTACACGGAGATAGGTGGAGATTGTTGAGGGTTAGAAACAAAAGAACTTTATTTATTTTTAATTTCTGGGGAGGGATGGATTTTTCATGTTTGGGCAGGGTTAACTAAATGGGTTCCGCCAAGTGTGGGGTGAATCCAAGCAGAACAATTTGGTGAACAATGCAAAACAAAACAAAAATCAAATGTTAAAACCGAAGCAAAAATAAAAATACTGTTTCATTTATTGGGATTTTGGATGTTGTAGAAAGAAACAAAAAGAAGAAGAAGCTAAAATCACAAATATTTTGATGTGTCCTTTTTTTATGTTTAAACTTTACAAATTAATTTATGAATTTATGTTAAAAATATATGATAATATGCCTTTTAAGATAATGATCTTCTTACTTCGTTCACTTGCAAACGAAGTAATTATCTTTTACAACATCCATCCCTTCTCTGATCTCCGATGTCTAAAATAAGCACAATAAACTTCAACACGCCATTGCGAACAACAACAACAGTAGTAACAACAACAACAACAACAACAACAGCCGAAACAGCGCCAACAGCAATAAACTTTTTTTAATCTAAAACGCTAAAACGATATCGACAAGAAATGAACGGCTGAAAAAAGGTGAGAGAAGAGAGAATCCATTTTACAAAATTTGTCTTCCCCAAATATTCAAAGACATTCTTCCATTTCGGAAAAATTGTTGCCTTTGATGAATTAGTTTGCTTTTTTTTTTTTGGGAACTGAAAAAAAAAAAAAAAAACAAACAAAACAAAAAAAAACAAAAACAAAAAAACAAACAAACAAACAAAACAAAAAAACAAACAACAACAACAACAACAATAAAACAGAAAAAGAAGAAGCAAATAAGAAAAGAAATACTAAACGGAGAAAATGACTGCATTTTTTTTTTTTTAATTGGAAGAATGTGCTGCGAGTGAATAATGCCTGTAAATATTTCTGCTGGACCCCTACCAACAGGTGGGGATTTTAGCCTTAACTTTCCTTGTGGAACGATAAAGACATTTTATTTATTTTTTTTTATAAATCAATAATTTTAAAATCTTATTTTTTGTCAACGTTTTTTTCCTTCTTAAATCGCCCAGCAAAAATATCTTTTGTATTTAAATCTGAAAAGATCAAAATATTTATTACGATGAAGATTTTTTCAAAAAAAAAAAAAAAAAAAAAACACAAAAAAAAAACAAAACAAAAATCGATGCTTTTGTCTTATTCTTTAAGGCTTTTACACTTCATGTCTTTTCAGGAAAAGATCTTTGAAGAACAGAATCGGAGAATTTCATTAGACGTTTCTACAGAAACGCACCTTTCCAAGCAATAATTCTCCTGATTCCTAATATGCAAAGCTAAAGAGATTTTTTTTTTTAATATTTAAGTGTTCAATTCAGTTTGCTATGTTAATTGATTGTAAAGTGATACAATTACGTAATCTAAAAATAAATAAATATATAAATGATAAGTAAGAGAAATAATTAGTAACTAGAGATGAACTCAGAAATTCTACGGTTGGCAGGTTAACACTTGAAAACTTGTCTTTACATTTTAAGTGGGATAAATTGTAAGCATTTAAATACCCATACAGTCATATAGTACATGTCGTGTTATAATCATTTTTTCCGAATAAGTTTTTATGGCATCTATTTAATCATATACAGAGGAACCGAAAGTAATCATTGCGAGCTAGCGTATGTCATATTAATATACCATTTCAACGAAGCAGAAACGCATGACGGCCTTTTCCTTCCTTCCTTCCTTCCTTCCTTCCTTCCTTCCTTCCTTCCTTCCTTCCTTCCTTCCTTCCTCCTTCCTTCCTTCCTTCCTTCCTTCCTTCCTTCCTTCCTTCCTTCCTTTCTTCCCTCCCTCCCTTCCTTCCTCCCCTCCCTTCCTTCCCTCCTCCCTCCTCCCTCCCTCCCCCCCCCTCCTCCTTCCTTCCTTCCTCCTCCCTCCTTCCTTCCTCCCTCCCTCCCTTCCTTCTTCCTCCTTCCTCTATCCCTTCCTTCCTTCCTTCCTTCCTTCCTTCCTTCCTTCCTTCCTTCCTCTATCCCTTCCTTCCTTCCTTCCTTCCTTCCTTCCTTCCTTCCTTCCTTCCTTCCTTCCTTCCTTCCTTCCTTCCAGAATGAGCCTTGAAAATTTATTTGTTATTTACTCTGTTTGTGTACTAATCATTTCATGGCACAGTTAATCTTACAGGACGTAATGTAGCTGCTAACTACGGAACGAAGGTAGAAGCAGGATTAAATACTAAAGGGAAAAAGTAAGTAAGTAAGGATATGCATTGATTGAATTCATATTTCGCGCCTGTTTTGAAATTTTGTATATAAACATTTTAAGTGCAACGCTGGGAAAAGGTAAGTAAGAATATGCTTGAATAAATATTAACTTTTTATTTTTTGAAATAATTTCACCCCAAGCAAGGCGATAAAGGTTCAAAGACGCAACGATTACTGGTGATGGAACAGAGTTGAGCGAAGGAAAGTGAGAAAACGTTAGAGCAAGAACAATAAAGAGAACGGGATTCATTGAGGCAGAAGATAACTGTTGACGTTACATTTAAATTATTGCAGATTGTAGTTGACAGCAAAATTAGATGTAGAAAGAAAGTTCTATTGGCGCGAATAAAGTATTAGAACGGTTACACTTCTTAGCAATTTCAACAGTAAAATTGGGGCCTAGTTGCCAAATCGGGTAAATATGGGTAAATAGTAGGACAGACTGGGTTCTATAGCCTTGGATGGCAACTGGTCTAGGAGAAAGAAAACTCTGAATTCAAAACCTGCGGAGGGTCGTTTGGGGACCTTGTGGCACGTAGTGCACCAGGTCTCTGTAATCGGCTCTTCAAAACGTGTGGATGGTCCTGCACGAAACCTTCACCACTTCCTGATACTGAGTATATCGTCACCCTTACTGAAGGGAAATTCTCAAGATGAACACGGACACTAATTTTAAAATTTCTGGCGTACAAATTTCAAGAAAATCAGTCGATCTCATTCGGTTCGAAAACGCGTTACATTTTAACATTCAATTACCCAAGATTGTTCTGATATATACAAATTTATATTTACACTATTTATATTAGGACTTCATCTTTGTTTAGGCCGTTGTGCCACCCGGTCTTTCTCACGTGTATATCGATCTGGGTAACCTACAAGGAAACCGAACCCTTTATTTAATCTACGGGCATAGACTTCGTTCCCCTGCTCATGTCTAGGGATATTATTTAGTTATTTTTACTTTAGTTATTTTTGGTTTGGTTATTTTTATTTAGTATTGTTCAGTTATTTCTCGCCCGTTTCTACTGAACTCACAATGCCACCAAATTCACATCTCTTTTATCCATTAGGCCATTGTCTCGTAGGACAAATTGCTGTAGTGAACTTGTTGCTTTAAACTGGTTGCTGATTAGTTTGCAACTGCTGCTGCTGCATGTTTTCATTGATGCTGCTGCGGTTGAAGATTTGCTGTCATTTGTGTTTCTTTCTCTATTAGAGGCTCCAATATTGTTTTTCTTTCTATGTCGGCACTATTAGCCTTAGGTACTCATAGCCTTGGCATATGTACTGAATATTTCAAATTTATTTGTCAATTCACTATCAGTTAATTTATACGCGACAACTGAAGTGGGGAAAATAAAGAAAGTGAAGGATACATGAGAAAGCACGAAAGAGGAAATGTAGAACGTAAGTAAGAAATCTAGTGAAAAGTGAAAAGAAATTCTGTTGAAAGGATAGTTCGAAAATAAAGACAAACTTGAATTTCATTGCTCCTTTACGCCGTTGATATTTTAAGTTGTGTGAAACCTTATTTAATTTTGCTGCATATTTTACGTTTAGAAGGTAGGTAATTCCCATTATATATATATATATATATATATATATATATATATATATATATATATATACAAATATAAAGTTGATATAGGTGGAATAAACTTCCAGTAACCAAAAACAGTATTTTAAAAAGTGCTCAACACAGAGTAGAGCGAATAATATTTATTAAAAAATTGTAACATATGTATATTATAACATTACTACAAAAATAGCCATTTTGTTTTAACATTGTCAAGTGATGGTGTTGTAAGTAAAATAAAGATTTTAAAAAAAAACTTTTTATTTTACTTTCAACAAGTTTTTAAAAACTGTTTATTTTACCACCATTTGACAAGACACCAGAAGTGTTGAAATAAAATGTAGTGACATTATAACATACATATGTTATAATTTTAAAATATTTTTTTGTATATATATATATATATATATATATATATATATATATATATATATATATGTGTGTGTGTGTGTGTGTGTGTGTGTGTGTGTGTGTGCAGGTAACCTGGAGTTCTTTAGCATTTTTGTTTTTATTTAAAAATAAAAAGTGCTCCATACAGAAGTAGAGCTTAAATTATAATTATTTTTTAAAAATATGATTCCTTCGCTCCATAAGAGTTAAATCCGATATGATTCCTTCGCTACATAAGAGTTAAATACACCCCTTATCACAATGGCCGCCCCAGCCGTTTCCATAGTAATTAATTCTGCGAACGAACATGCTTATAAAGATGCGTAAATTTCAAGATTGTTTATTCCTAAATTTTCGCTTGAGGATGAAACAGGGCTTGATACTTTAATTCAATTTAATTTTAATAATTATATTGAGGGGTTTCGGCTTTCGTTTTTGAAACATGAGAACTCATATATATATATATATATATATATATATCAATTTAAACGTTATTTCAGTGCATATTATTTGAGTAGATGCTCCATTTATTATTAAACAATACATTTATATATTTTCTTCTACCGGTTTGAATATTAAAGAAATCTTATTAAAGAAAAATATGTGCTCTCCAACAGGATTCGAACTTACGTCTCCCTTTCCAGGAAAAAGCGTCGTTAGAAACGACAAACTTATATGACAGTTGTTACTTTGTTGCCGAGTATGACCATCGCAAGATATCAGTACAAGGTTTAATTAGGAATCACTCAACATTATTGAATTGTTGTCGATTTGCAGGTGTTACATTAGTTTTCTTTCTTCTGGTTGGATAATCGGTTTAGTCACCGATAGCCAAATCATGTGACAGGAAGTACTCGATTACACACACACACACACACACACACACACACACACACACACATTATAATGTGCCCATAGCGTAACGGTTCGCAATAATTGGATAATTGGAGTTGGGAGTGGGGGAGGCAATGGGGAAACCACTCCATTGTCTTTCCCCAAAAGTCATAGCAATTCATAGATAATAATGAAAAGGTATTTGTGGAGAGCCATGATCTCCTATATCATAAGGAGACATGTCATTAAAAATATGTGACATCGTACTCACCATTATCGCGAAGAATCTTCTTACAAAATAAAAAATAAAAATTAGAATACATGAAGATTTGAAGAATATTTGAAATTATCCAAACAAACTACCAAGTTAAACGGAGATGGAGGAATATAAAATATAAATATTGTAAATAAAAAATGACATTCATTTAAAATTGCGGTGCATTAAAGATATAATTTTCAAATCTCACGTGTGGCTTCATTTAACTCATGAAACGAATATCCAAGTTTTTTTTTGAGATTATGGGGAAATAACTCGTAACTTAATTCCTAATCTAAGCAAGTGTTCTCCCTTGAATTGTAACTACGTTAAATTTAACTAAAGATGAAATATCCCTGAGATTACTGTAATTATGTTTGTACAACACGTAAAATGTCATGTAATGATTCCACATAAGAAATTAATGAATGAAATTTTACAGGAGATTAATATTTTGAAATTATTATTTTTACCATAATTAACGATATTTTAAAAAAAATGTTATAGTGAGCATCAGTCACCATTATTGTTAGTTTACTTTAACGAAATTAAATTTCAGCTTGAATCTTCATAGTGTTCAAGTATGAAGTCGTTTAAAAAATATCTTATTTTGTAACAGTAGTACGGTTGTTGTTTTATATTAAGCATGTCAAAACAAGGTTGGAGCAAGTAGAGCGTTACTATTTAGAAGCCACACTCCCAGTTCATTGCAAATGGAATGGTTGTTTTATTCAGGAAAGTAAATATTCACATTATATGGAGGAAGCTTCGTGGATTGAATAGCGGCTCGGATTGAGGACTCGGAGAGTCGAATTCGAATTCTAGTTGAGATCATTACATTACGTGACCCTTGGGAATGGTATGAATCAATCTATGGGTAAATAGCAGGATAGACTGGGCCCTATAAGAGAATTCGGTCTAGGAGAATATCAAACCAGCCTGTGTCAGGTTATTTTGTCCAGGAAACACTGTTTCTGTGGGTGGTACTCCTCGGTATCGTAAACGTTTCCAGCTTTGATAGTCTAAAAGCGTCTCGAAGCTCTTGTGGGTGACGAATTGTTCTCCACTCTGGATGTGGCAAGCCTCTCGCTGCTCTATCACTAGCACAGAAAGTGCTCGGACGAACTATATTCCCTAGTTCCGCCAGTTCAGAGCTTCATGGCAAGGACACACGCCATGTCACTTATATTGTAGCAAACCATCCACCTTTCTTCCGTATTCCATTGGTGTAAAATAAGTTCCATTCGAACAGCCCCTTCCCGCGAACCACTGATTACAGATTTTATTACGGATGTAAGGGAACCGACTCTATCACTTACAAACTTAACCTGGTCAAGGCTAGCGTTAACCGTTATCTTCCCGTCTTATCTGCACAAATTGACTCCTAACGTAACCCTCGGGCCTTGTAAAGGGTGAACCTTACTGTTAAAAAAAATATTATAAAATAAATCCTGGTACCGTTGATAAATTAAATTACCATTCACGCTTAACTACTAAGCAGTTAATATCCCGTTGAAACACCAGTTCTCGAAGTTGGGCAGTGTTGAACCTGATCAGTACCTAGATGTTGATTTTCCAAGCGTAGCTTAGATGTGGCACAAGGCCGAAAGTAGGAGCACCCAGTGAGGATCGAACTCACTATTGAGTTTTAAATGTTCTAGCGAGACAAGCTTGCTAACCATTACACCGCCTCGAGGTGCCCAAAGATATAGAGATTTTCCAAGCGTAGATTTGATGTGGCACAAGGCCGGAAGTATGGGGCACCAAGAGAGGATCGAACTTCCTACCCAGTCGTAATTCT